GATATCAGGCACCGTGGTAGACCCTTCCACTTACAATCACATTCATTACTCCTCACCCCCCAGGTATATACAATTTTTACTTTCCCTCCGCAGGGTGCACAATTGGAACCTGACCCTGTCCTGTGCTATTTTTTATGACTATTTGGCATGCTTCAGTCTATGGCATATCATCTTCCAACCTAGGAGGCTCACAGTATCGGACAATATTTTGGTGGGATCCCTAGGGTTTTCTTGGCTACTTTGGGGAAGTATATTGCCAGACTTCTCTCGCTGGTATGGATACATGCGCATCTAGTCTAGCACTTCACTATTTAAAGATACCCCGATTATGTCTAACACTTTTGACACTACGAGGGGGTACCCAAAAAGAAAAAGCCAGAAAAAAGCCCCACCCAGCAGAGCTTTCAGAGTACGCATATTTCCTACTAGGTGAGCATGAGCAACGTGCTCTGAGTTATTGTACTGAGTAGAATTGCCTGCGAAGGTTCTCTCTGGTCACAGTGAATTTTTTCGTAAAAGCAGTTTTGCTCAAACCTCGGTTTTTTGTGATGGCCACTGTAAGAGAACAGCGTGCACCTGTGAAATTTCATTTCCTGCTCAGGAAAAATGCCACAGAAACAGTTGCGATGTTGAACACAGCTTAAAAGAACAGCACTGTGGGAAAAACTCAAGTGCATGAGTGGTTTTCTGGTTTCAAAAAAGGAGAAATGATGATTTATGATAACCCACATTCTGGACATCTGTCAACTTCCCAAATGGATGGCAATGCTGACAAAATTTGTGCACTTGCTCTTGAAGACTGATGACAGACCATTAAAGAGATGGGAAAGTTATATGGACTATTTTGGAGCACAGCTCAACAAAATTTAACAAAAGATTTGGGAATGAGAAGGGTCGCTGGGAAATTTGTGCTTCTGAAGAGACTTGGAGTTTTTTCCCAAGGTTATGACTGGTGATGAGACATGGTGCTATTCTTGTGACCCTGTAAGCAAACATCAGTCAAGCCAGTGGAAGATGCCATTGTCACCTTGCCCAAAAAAGCTCGTCAAGTGAAATGAAAGATCAAGATGATGCTCATTTGTTGTTTTGATGTAAGGTGGATAGGGCATTTGGAGCTCATTTCACCAAGTCAGACTAATTTCTATTAGAGGTTCTGAAAAAATTGCATAACAATGTGTGACCAAAAAATACCCGATTTGTAGCAGATGGAGGACTGGGTTTGCCACCACAACAATGCACCTGCTCACGCAGCCATCTCAGTGCAGCAATTTTGGGCAAAAAAAATGCTTCTCTTCCCCCATGCACCTTACACCTGAACTCACTCCGTGTGACTTCTTGCTGTTTCCATGAATGCAGAGGGACATGAAAAAACAGCGGGTTGACGTCAAAGAAGTAGTGAAACAAAAACAAGGGAGGTGCTGGCAGCCATCCCAACAGATGCGTTGGAAAAATGTCTCCAAGAATGGACTCATAGATTGGACAAATGTATTAAGTGTAATGGAGAGTATTCTGAAGGTGATATGATTCTTTTGCTAAAAAAAAATTAGATTTGAAATACAAAGTCTGGGTTTCTTTTGTACAACCCATTATACAATCTAGGCGCCAATAAGCACCCTTACATATTGGTGCTTTTATTTTCATGTAATTAATTCCAACACCAAACAACTCATTGTATTGGGTAAATCTGCTGCACAAGACCTCTTTAAAGTGTTAAAGAGCAAGTGTTAAAGAACTAAGGGATTTTCCATTGCCTCATTTACATGAATAAAGACATTGAATCAGGAAACCCAAAGAAGAATCAATGCATTTGAATTATGGTGCTGATGAAAAATAGATTATCAGAAGAACAAATAAATCTGTCCTGGAGAAAGTACAACCTAAATGTTCCTTAGAAGCGACAAGGCAAGATTTTGTCTCATGTACTTTGCTATCATGAGGGACCAAACGAAAACCAAACTCACTGCCATCAAGTTGAGAGTGGCGAATCATGATCTGTAGGGCAGAGGAGAAGTCCTCAGTGGGTTTCCCAGTGGGTAGCCCAGTGGATAGCTCTTTAAGGACATAGAAAGCCTTGTTTTTCTCCCAGAGAGCAGCTGGTAGCTCTGAACTGCAGATTTTGCGATTAGCAGCCCAACTTGCAATCCACTATGGCACCAGGGCTCTTTGAGATGAGACCCGTCTTTGGAAAAGGACATCCATCATGCTTGGTCAAGTAAAAGGAAATCAAGAAAAGAGGATGACCCTCCATGAGATGGACTGACATAGTAACGACAAGGGGCTTAAACATAACAACGATTACGAAGGTGGTACAGGGTTGGGCAGTTTTTCATTCTGTAGGGTTGCTATGAGTCAGAAACAACCAGATAGAACCTAACAGCAACAAACATCTCATTCATTAACTTTTCTAAATGCTTTCCATGTATTGTCTCGTTTAATCTTGACATAACCCTCTGAGAGCCTCTATTATAAAAATTATGAAATTGAGGTAAATTACCTATCCAAGACATTAGTATTGGTGGAGAAGGAATTTGAGAGTTCAAATAACTTACCAAAAGTCACTAGGTAGTAAGTAGCAGATCAGAAATTTGAACCCAGGTGGTCTGCCAACCAAGTCTATGCTCTTAAAATGACCTTTACTTAAGGCCATTTCAAAATGACCCTTTCCCAGGGTCATTGCCAAATTCCTTCCCTAGACACTGCTGCCATTGGCAGTCCTTCTCGGATGGTTTTTAGTTGCCCTATCTTTTAATGGCATCAATACCAAGTCATCTCCTCTCCCAGGTACACAGATGACCGACTATCTTGTGTGTTTGTAAGCACAGTTGAGTGCATGCCCCACAGGCTGCAAAGCCTTTTACAATGTAGAGTTGGGTTGTCTAGGGGACTGCCTCTCTCCTTAGGTCTCCTCATAGCAGCAGGGACCAAGACATGAATATGGATTGTTAGTGAATGGGATGCAGACTAGAACATTAGGCCAGGGTGTCTCAGCTAAAAGCTTCCAGATTTATCTCCAGGGAAGTGGGCACTGGGAATTTTCCATTCAAATCTCATGTTGTTAAAATGCCTCATGTAAAAATCTCCAGTCTTTTGATGTTCACAGAATGAAGGAACTCCTCCATCTGCCAAAGCCCAAATTCCCCCAACTGATTAAAATTATAATGGTATACTACTGTTTTTATGTTTCTTGTTAATTTTATATACTTTTCCCCCAAGTGTTTAATTTGCCACAGAGCCCTGGAGACTTGAGCAAAGTGTGTGGTTTTTCCTACTCAAATAAATGAACCAAATTAAACCAAACAATCTGGAATTGTTTGAGGGCTCCCCCACCCACTAATCCCTGAGCCCCGCCTTGGGGGGGCATTAAAACTTAAGGGCACAATTGCATTCTTTGCTCCTATGGTGAGAGAGGAGTGAGGGGGGAGAAAAAGCTAAATACTGTCCTGAGTTCAAGGTTGTATTTTAGGTAAGCTCCCCAGACACCATGAGGTGCTCCCACAGCCCAGGGAGAGAATTTACAAACAATCCGTTTGTGGTGGTGTCGTGACAAAGAAAACTATCCTGGTTTTCTCCCTCCAAGAAAGGTAACTTGAAGTGCTGAGTGTTAAAGAGCCTTGGGATAATAAGCATCTTGTAAAAACGCTGTAGGAAAACGACAGCAAAGCACAACTACTGAGGTAGCATCTTTGGTGGAATAACCTAAGGTTGGGCTGGCACTCGCCATACGGTAGCAAGTCAGTCATTATATGCAAGGAGGTTTCTGGGAAAACAGAAGGAAATGGTTTGACTGCCCGCCCACCCCTTGCCCGTGAACAAACCAGAACAATTGTGAAGAGATGGGAGCCAGGTGTAGTGCTGGGCTAGAATGATGGTGGCGTCTTGGAATTGCTGGCGTGCAAAACTGGCTCCAGGGTGGACGATTTAGAAACTTTGGGTGACAGCTTTATGGTGAGGATGGAACCCAAATGGAGTCCAGTTCGTGAGTAAGGTCAGCTCTGGACAAAAGTTCCTCGTGAGCAAAAGTAGCTGAAGGTGCTCCATTGAAGATTCACTGTCACTCCCACCCAGTCGATTTCTATAGGAAATCCAGAGGCCCTATAGGAAATCCAGAGACACTATAGGAAATCTAGAGACCCTATAGGAAATCCAGAGACCCTTTAGGAAGGGGGGGAAGACTTGCCCCTGTGAGTTTCTGAGACTAACTCTTTACCGGAGTGGAAAATCCCACCTTTCTCCTGCAGAGTGGCTTCAACCTGTTGACCTCATGCTTAGGTTAGCCTGCCGGCCCTTAACCATTACACCACCAAATCAATTGAACACTTATAAAAATCTGTAAAATGTATCAAGGCGAACCTATTCTGCAATAACTCAAGTTGCACACCCTCCCAGCAGCAGTCCGCTGTGTGGACCCAGTTTATAAGAGAGGACAACTCTCCGAGAAGGTTCCGAACCTTGCCCAGGGCACAGAGCAAACAGTGTGGTCTAGTACAAGACACTGTGTTTAAGGCTCCGTGAGCTCCGGTGGTTATGCTTTGGGCTGCTAACCATAAAGGCAGAAGTTCAAAAACAGCCACCCGCGGGGAAAAGATGAGGCTTTCTACTCCAGTCTCAGAACCCCACAGGGGCACTTCTACCCTGTCCCTACTACAAAATCGACTTGCGGGCAGTAAGTTTGGAGTTTGGGTCGCAATGGTTTGCTCCAAGCTTCTGATGACAGGACTGGGGCCAGTGTCAAGGCCAGACTACAGAGGCCAGCCAACTGCCTAGAAGCACACAGTATGTTAAAAGCCCCTTGGGCCTGGGCGGGCAGTGATGATGGGAAGCGCAGGGAGGTGAGAACTTCCGATACCGACTCAGGGGGGCTCTCAATCCACCAGGAGACCCCTCTGGGACGGAGCGGAGTGACCCCACTCGCGCCGCTCGCGCCTCCCCCGCCGCTTTTCCGCAGCGCGCCGCCTCCGGACCCCGCGCCCCGCCCGCCCGGCTCAGCCGTGGTCACTCACTCACGGACTGGGACACTTTCAACTCCTGGTTGAGCCACTGGCACAAAATCTCCGACATGGCTCTGATTCCGCGGTGATGCGAACAGGCAAGAATGGGCCGCCGCACCGCGTCCTCCCGTTGCCAATAGCAACCGTTGCCAAGGAAGCGTTGCTATGCAGGAGCTAGGTGAGCGGTTTGGAGAAGAGGGGACACCGGAGTCCAACGGCAGAGGACTGAAAACCGTAGACTGCCCCCTGCTGGAGGGAGAGACCCGGATGTGCGCACGCCTAAAGGAAGGACGCGGGGGTGGGGGTGCAGGTGATAAGCCCTTTAGGAGGTAGGTGGCCCAGGGGACAACGCAAGAAAGGACTGAGCGAAGGGCTCACAAAAGAGCAGAAAGAACAAGAAGGGGGGTGGGGGGTGAGGGCGGTTTGACTGTAGGGTAGTTTATTTTTTCTGTCCTTTCATGAAAGCCACATCGACCCAATGGCCGCAATTTTGCCACTGTTTAGGGATTGCTAGTTTTAATCTCTGGTGTAGAGTTACCCATTCTAGGACAGAATGGATCTTAGGCCTGTTTTCATTCTCAAATCTGGGATAGGGTCGGCGACTTGGAAAAGAGTCAGTCAATTTTGCTAAGGTCACGGTGGACCTAATCATCATTGTTATCATCAATATCGTTGTATTGTTTTGAGAAGGGCCTTTGCAGGTGCGGGGGTTAAGGGCTAGGCTGCTAACTTAAAGACTTTCTGTGGGAGAAAGATGTAGCCGTCAACCACAGATTGACAACTCTGGGAACATGATGGGTCGTCTTACCTTGTTCTATGGGGCCCCATGGGCCGCGAGTTGGAAAGGACCAGGTGACAAACCACAGGAACTTGGTATGTTGAGAGGTGAAGATGCCATCAACCATTTTATTATGTTTTTCAAATGTTTTATCGTGAATTAGGTGAATATTCGCAGAGCAAATGATTGGTTTTACATTCAACAATTCACATACATTTTGCTTTCACCCATCCATTACAATCACCACAATGAATTTATCTCACCTTCTTTCTGTGCTCTCTGTTTCCAGAAATGTTTAGACGCTCCCTTATAGTTCTATTCTTTTCTTTTTTCTTTTTTAAAGATAATTTCACACACACACACACACACACACACACACACACACATCTGTCAGCAGCCTTGTCTGTAATCTGCCCCAGGGTGATGGATGAATTTTCCCAGGACTGTTTCAAATTCAACTATAACTAAGGGTTAAAGCTTCCAAACGAACCAACCCCAACCTGAGGGTTCCTTCATACAATGTTTGATAGCAGCACGTTAACACTACAGTTTTAACTAGCTTCTCATAACTTTCTTTTACCACCCACCTGTATCTCAAGGAGAGCCTTGGTACATTGCTATAAAACAGCGATTTTCCTTGAAAGGCAAGTAAAGGGATTGTTTTGGTAACTAGGTGTCACCAAAGTCATTATGTAACTAGACTCCTAAGTGAGATTTCCTCGAGGTGTAGAGGCTGTCAAGTTACTCTAGGGCGTCCTTCATTGAACCTGACTTGCCACACTTGCATGGCCTGACCAGCACTTGCCCTAGATTATGACCGTCCATCACAAGCACGCTCAATCCAAGCTTCTAGCCCAGTAGAAGGCAAAAGGTAACACGTGGGCAGGTAGTTACCATAATTTTAGATTAAAAGATAAAAACAAGTAGGACTTGTGGACGGAATTAAATTTCCCCTGCAGGTGAGCCACCCGTCAGCGGGGAAGCTGGTTGGTGGTTTATTCAGAACAGTAAGTAAATTCCAGTCCTCTAGCAGGTTTGGTCACAAAGTTAAGAACTTGGCCTTCTTTAGGTAAGGAAGACATACTGCAGATTTTATGCCCAGTAGTTCTGCACTTATTCACCATGGCAAACATAACTTCCAAGACTAGGGCAGAAGGTGATAGCAAGGATAGAGCCAGTTGCAAATGCACGAGAAAACCTAAATTTCCAGAATCTAATGACTTAATAGCATTTTGGGATATTCTTGTTTCTGCCTGCTGTAGGCATTTCATCTTTTTAAAAAGTTAAAAAAATTAAAAAAGGATTTCAGCTCCCCTAAGCTGTAAGGCTCTAGCTATTGATATTGATCTTCTCTGTCATCTCTTCCACATATGCAGTCAATTTGATTTCTGTGTACTCCGTCTGGAGAAGTCCACATGTTGTTGAAAAAAAGTTATTTTCTAAGAATAAGTCATTGGTCTTGCAAAGTTCTGCCATGTGATCTCCAGCTTCATTTCTATCACCAAGATAATATTTCCCAACTACCATTCCTTTCTATGTTTCCAAACTTTGCATCCCAATCGCCAATAATGATAGACACATCTTGATTACATGTTTGATTCATTTCAGGTGGAAGCTTTTGATATAAGAGGAAGACCTTCAGGGAGATGGATTGACACAGTGCCTGCAACAATGGGCTCAAGCATAGGATCGATGGTGAGAATGGCGCAGGACCAGGGCAGTGCTTCATGACGTGTGGACAGAGGGCCTCTGGGGACTGGAATAGACACTGTGGCAATTAACAACAACCATCTAGAAGGAGCTAGTTTACTGATAGACAGGAAAAGTTTCATTAAATTTCTTTTTTGTGGGCAGACTACTCCCTCTTGTTTCGCCAAAGATTGTAATTCCTTTTTGCTGCCGTGGGGCAGATCTATAAACTTGGGCAGAATTATACATTTCTCTCTCTGTGTTTCAATTTATCTCTGAGTGCTACTTTTCTTGTGGGACTTTTAGGGTCCAGATCAGTAGGTTTTATTTTAGCCTTGTAACTTTATGAAGAAAAGACTATCAAGTTCTTCCGAGAGCCTTGGTTAATGGCAGCTAGTTAGCTATTACAATGTAGACGACTGTTTGCAGCCTAAACTGTCCCGTTATGTAACTTATTACAAAGACTATGGTTTTTCTTTAGTGTCTGAAGAGTAAGCTTGCTCCTAAGGTTGAATCCCAGAGGGGTGTCTGAAGGTATTAAAGGTTAGCCTCTCATCTGAAAGAGAATAGGGGGTCAAGGCCTTGGGCGTCCCATTTCCCCCAGAGAGTGTACCTCCTCCAACACTGGGTTTCCAGAATCAACTGACCCTTGATGGGTAACCCCCTGCCCCACCCCCTGGACTCCAGCCCCTTCTGATAAGGCCTAAACATCCCTACTTGAGGGAACCTTCTCCAATTCACTCTTCAATGTGTCTTTGCCTCCTTCCTCACAGGATCAAAATCATTTTGGTTTTAGATTACTGCTAAATCCTCTGAAGCTATGGGAATCATAGCAACACGGCAGGCTCAAAAGGCTTCGTACACTGCTTGCATATATTTTGGGGCTTTATAAAAATTTTCAAACTGAGTAAAGTTGATCATTCAAGGGTTGGAAAATTCTCCTAAGACCCACAAAATAAAACTATACCTTGGCTCTAACTGCCCCAAAGCTCATGCGGGGAAATGGCCTGAGTTACAACCCCACATCTTTTTCATAATGCCTTCTGGCTACTGTCACCAAGTCAACACCATAGGGCCCTAGTTGCTGGCCAACCTGCAAATCTTCATGAGGGCAGACAGTCTTATCTTTCACCAGTGGGGCGGCTGGTTAACCTTGCTGTTAGTCGCTCAACCAGTAGCCCATTACACCACCAGGGCTTCTTCTCAAGTTGTCTAGGAGTTACAAAATTTCTCTTTGTGAATCCCCACTTGGAAGTTCATAATTGCAAGTTGGGTTATCTGCCTTTGTGCTTGACTTGGAGAGATTGGTGATAGGGCTCAACAGCTTCAGGGCAGGGCTCCAGATTCTGGGAATGGACAGATCCACCAGCCTTTCTGTATCTTATGAATAAACCAGAACCACACTCACTGCCATCGAGTTGATGCCAACTCAAATCAATCTCATGTCAGAGACGTTTTCAAACATTTCGTTATTTTAAACAGCTCTTAGACTAACCCTTTAAACATAAAACATGAACATAAGCTTTAGCACACTTGAACAGATATATTTTTTCTTTAACAGGTATGTGAACTTCCAATTACAGCAAGCATTTTTTAATTTAACTTGAGCAAATAACTTAGAGATCTTGATCCTAAGGTTGTTTTATATATATACATATATAGAGAGAGAACTTTATGTGCTCTTTATAATATGAAAACAGTTTGATTCATAAGTAGGTGTATGTTATATAATCAAAGATGAGCTCTCAAGTAAAGAAAACCTATCTGTATACACTTCATCTAATTTTCATCCAGAAGTAAAACATATTTTTACCAACAATTGGTTTCATAAGGCCCTGCTATACCAATGAAAACCAAGAGTACACTCGTTAGAAGGGCTGCCCTATTAAAATCATATAAAGCCATTCATTAGCAGAGGAAGAACTTAAAAAATGGTTCTAAAGTAAGAAATAACATCTAATATGGAGGCTTATTTACCCTATGGAGGAAGGGCATGTGGCCTCCAGGTAGTTGCCCTTTTGTAATGGTGTTTCCAAGTGTTACATACTGGGGCCACCAATTAAGGTAAAGGGTTCAGCCCCTCCCACCATGGCTTCTCACTTCTTGCTTTTTCCTATACCCAATGATTCGATCAACTAAATTTGTTTTAAAACCTTAAATCCAATGTTCTCCCTTTCGGACTTACAACATTCTGAATACTGGGCCAAAGAACAGGAAGGCCTTTAAACTTCAGAACAAGCCCAAGGAAACAACCACCTCGTTTTCTGAGTCAAGACCTAGAAATATTGAAGAAAACTAGTCTCACAGGCGCAAGGAAAATAGTTCCATTCTAACCAGACAGATGGACCCTAAGCCCAAAGTGAGGGAAGAAAAAACAAAAACAAGCTCAAGCGAAGATCCTTTCACTTCTGGGCTGTGGCTGGATTTTTGCCAAGGGCAGTGAGAAGTAGAACTTCAAAGGACTCTGGCAGCCGCCCTTCTTTTTGCCTGGGAAAGACTCTAGTTCAATTCCATCATGGTGAAGAATAGTGCTTTTTCAGGTCCGTCATTTCTCTTTCTACTGGCTAGGCTTGCCAGGTATATTACTAGAATCCAGCTTTTTGTCTTACCGAGAGATAGATTTACTTTGGGAAGATATAAGGGGCATTGCA